GATTCACCTAACTGTAGTCGATACAATTCACGATTTCAAGAGTTCGCACTTAGATCATGCTTGAAAATAATAGCAGGTTTGGCATGCTGTCCCAGTAGAGAACCCTGAGCTTGGAGATAATTGAGCCCAGGGCTCCCATCTGGTCAATGAGCATGTAAGGGGAGTACGAGATTCTTAAGAGCTTCCCCTGGTAAAGGAGGAAAGGGGGAGAAGGGGTGGATGGGGGGTTTCTTCAAAAAAATGAAGATAAGGGAGTAGTTTTAGCCAGCCTACTTATAGTGAGTTTGGTTTAATCTGATTGGCCAACTAATGATTATAGATGAGAGACCAGCTGCGATCAATCATATCACATGCTTCTCTTAAAATTAGTTTGTGAAACTTCACTTAGGCACAATTTTTTTTTTAATTATTAGAAGCAAATTTAAAGAGCCCTTACCTTTTTTTCTTAAATGCTTGAAATTTGTTTTGCAAAATAATATATTTTGTGCCATAACCAAATTGCTATTTTTAAAACAAATTAATTCCAAAATAAATAGTAATAGTACAAACTAAAGAAGACTCTTTTATTTAAACACACTAAAACTGTGACTGTGCTGGGATTTGACATTTTTCAAAAGAAAGATCAGTATCTCTCTGTTTTCTGACATAAGCTGAGGTCTTTGCACATTTACAATGTCCCCTGCTGAAAAAAACTGTTTTACTGGGGACTGAGATGACTGGTGTGGAGAGGTAAGCCTTTCCTAATCCAAAAAAAAAAGACAGCGGTAAAAAAAAAAAAAAAGATCTAATTATATAGTAGGGCAAAGACAGGAGTTGAACATGATTATGAAGGTGAATAATTAACATTGCTTGTATAATTAATTAGTATAAGTATCAGTGTGATACACTTAAGAAGAGATAATCATGTTTAATATTTAATAATAATAATCAAATTATTAAAATATGCATACACTAATTTGAAAAGGCGTGAGTAATAATAATTTATTACCTGTTTCTGTAACAGAACAACTTTCTCTGTCAGTCTGAAAAACATCTTCACACTTTCATTATGAAAGCACTGATGCACCGTGTGATCTCAGTAGCACTCGTCGGATCAAGCGGATCTGCAAATCATCTGGTCTGCTTGGTTTATGTGCATCATACTCGTTCTTCTGCAAGTAAATGTGTTTTCACAGTATTTACACACAGTTTGTGTTTGTCTGGCGCACTTTACCGCTGTCATTTTACTCCGCCACACCACCTCTTGCTTGCCACTGATGTACAGGTAAATCAAGTTTGCGACTATAAACCCTTTGTTCAAAAATATATCGCGATTTGCTCAAGATTTCTACTGGTATGAATCGTCATATATTTTAATCCATTTTCAACAAGCTCACGGTAAATCTTTAAATCCCTAATTTTAAAAATTTCTGTTACAAAAACACATCGATCCACATCATAAGACGTGTAAAAAAAGCCCTGGCGATATATGAGTTTTTAAATTTGTGCGCTTTTGGAAGTTTCAGAACAAAAGCCACCATCCAACACCATTAAACTATACCACTCGGAAAAGCCAGGATCAAATTTAAAACTACTCTGACTGTTTTCATCTGACAGAAAAAAATACACAGAGGATGGCTTGAGGGTGAGTAATTAATGTGGTCATTTTCATTTTTGGATAAACTCTTCCTTTAACAACATGGTTGTTTCCTTGACTGCACGAAAAGAAGCAAAGGCCTGCATAAATTCACAATGCTGTCCTGTCAAATGATTTGCATAACTAGGATGAGGTGTAAATGTAAACAGCGTTGGGTTTTAGCACTTCATCCCCATCGTGGTTGACGTTCCCGACGGCCCACTCTAAATAGCCAATATGTGTTGACGGCAAGCCAGTCGGATGGAGATCTCCCTCTGTGTGGAGGAGACCCTCACCTACACAGTCAATTAAAACATCACTGCACTGAAACACTGTTCACGAGTTGCTTTTCATGCTGTAAGACACTGAAGATCTGCAGTGCCTTCTGTAGTCACCGGAATTTTTTTCCCATTCCTTTTTTCACATAAGGATTTTATTAAAGTCTTTATTATAGAGATGTAAGCTATGAGCCAAATGAAGCAGCTATGAAGAGAATCACAAATTACAAACTTTGAAGCAAAGAAGTATATTAAAATAAGAGACAATAATAAAGGTACAATACTGTGAATGGCTTTAAAAGGATAGTTCACCCAAAAGTGAAAACTATCTCACCATTTACTCCATTAAACCTTTATGAGTTTCTTCTTCTGTTCAACACAAAAGAGGACATTTTGAAGAATGCTGGTTGATACTACGCAATGACTTCCATAGGATGGAATTCAATGGGTGCCAACAACCAGCATTCTCTAAAATAACTTGTTGTGTTCAATAGATAAAAAAGAAACTCAGGTTTGAACAAGTGTATACCTATTTGAAATAATATTTTAGTGGACTAACCTTTAAATTTGGTAAAGAATTTCCATCCCATAAAGAATTACAAATAGCAGCCAAATTAAAAACCATTGACAATTATAAAACTATTAATTTAATTTATTAATTTTATAAACAATATATTTCAAGTTTATTGAAAAAAATACACACAGTATGTGACCATAGCGAGATTGATTAATTATTTGTGGTGCTTCTTCGGGGTGGCTAGTGCTAAATACATTTTTGTTTACAACTCAAGTTGTGAAATTTACTGCAAAGTATCCTGGGAAATGTTTTTTCTACAAAAATTACACTGAGCAATTGTTTTAAGTTGAGTCAACACATACAGATTTGGTTAAATCCGGCAGCTAGCTCTCTGCAACTCTCACATGGTCGCCCACTGAAGCTAAGCAGGGCTGCGCCCAGTCAGTACCTGGATGGGAGACCACATGGGAAAGCTAGGTTGCTGCCAGAAGTGGTGTTAGTGAGGCCAGCAGGGGGCGCCCAACCTGCGGTCTGTGTGGGTCCTAATGCCCCAGTATAGTGACGGGGACGCTATACTGCTCAGTGAGCGCCGTCTTTCGGATGAGACGTTAAACAGAGGTTTCGACTCTCTGTGGTCGTTAAAAATCCCAGGATGTCCTTCGAAAAGAGTAGGGGTTTAACCCCGGCATCCTGGCCAAATCTGCCCACTGGCCTTTGTCCATCATGGCCTCCTAACCATCCCCATATTCCAATTGGCTTCATCACTGTCTCCTCTCCACCAATCAGCTGGTGTGTGGTGTGCGGTCTGGCGCAAAATGGCTGCCGTCGCGTCATCCAGGTGGATGCTGCACACTTGTGGTGGATGATGAGATCCCCCCGTTGTGTGTAAAGCGCTTTGGGTGCCCAGAAAAGCGCTATATAAATGTAAGGAATTATTATTATTATTATTATTATTATTAAATAAAATCATACAATTGACTAACTTTTGTTAAACAATAGTATACATCTTGAGCATCCCAAAATTATTGTGTAAAGCACAATACATTTGATTTTAACTGAATTGAATTGAATGGAAAAAACATCTTTCAGATCTGAAAAGTCATAATATAATGTCATAAAATAATGTCCCAACCCAAATCGCTTAGATTCAGTGGTGTAAAGTAACAAATCACAAATACTCAAATTACTGTAAGTAGTTTTTCTCAGGAATTGTAATTCATTAAGTAGTTTTTTAAGGTGTGTACTTTCCCTTGAGCAGTATTAGTTCTTTTACTCCATTGTTTTCCTTCAGCCTTCAGTCACTATTTTTTTCTTGCAGTCTTGCAACTCCAGTCCAATCGAATTTTAATGATAATTTTATTATTATTATTATAACTTTTTATTTTACCAGGAAAGACATGTTGACAATAAATATCTATTTTACAATTTTGTATTCTAATGAACAATTTCAAGACATGTTTGAAAAATGTTCAAGAAGATGTCCAAAATCTTTAAACTACACGCAATCACTCAGAGACTGCATGTCACTGATAAGATGATGGATGCCTACTGTATGTTGACTAAAATCATCAAATGGCCTTAAACAATCATTAAATGCACTACAGAATGTTACGTTTACACACACATATATGCATAAACTGCATGTACTGTAAACTCATCAACCTTTCACAGTGTAATACTCACTCTTGAGCACTTTTAAAATTATTACTTTTTACTCATACATTGAGTAATATTTACAACAGATACTTTTACTCTACTTGCACTTCATTTTTGGGCAGTTCAACAGTTCACACTTTGCTGTTGATTAATTATAAGCTACTTTGGCATGCTGTCCCGGGAGAGAGCCTTGAGCTCATAAGATCCACGAGCCCGGGGCTCCCTCCCGTTGCAAGGTGAGAGGGGAGTTTGAGCTCAGATAGATCTCGTCTAACCCGGGGGAAACTCATGTGAGCACAGGGAGAAAGTGCAAACTCTGCACAGAAATGTCTGCTGGTTTGGTAAAGGCTGAAATTAGAGATGTTCTTGCTGTGAAGCAACAGTGCTAAGCACTGGTCCGCCGTGTCACCCATCTAGGAGAAGGAGTAGGGGTGGAAGTGGGGAATCTTCAAAACAAAGATATTGGTGGTACTTAACCCAGGGTATTTGTAGTAGCTTAGGAATCGTCTGATTGGTGCATTGAGAATTGGATAATGTGGATCCAGCTGTTAGCAATCATAAGCACGTAATCCTCTCAAAATAAGTTTATAAATAAACTTCACGTAGTGTTACTCTTACTTAAGTATGATTTTTCAGTAGTCTTTCCACCACTGAGTAGATTAAACATAAAACAATTAAGTTGTCCCAAAAAAAACTCAAGAATTGTGTTGATTCAGCCAATTTGGCGGCATACCCTTGCAGTTTATTTTTATTTCAATTTCTATATTGACAATGCTTTCTAACAAAAAATTTCTGTCCTTTTTCCTCCAACTCTCCTGAATTCCCTCTACCCTTCTTTTTCCTTCCCTCAACGATATCCTCTCATGTTCATTGCTCTGTCATTCTCCACTTCTTCAAACTCTCCTGCACGGTCATTTTCCTCTCGGCTTTGCAGGTCTCTATCTGGCCGTATCGTGGGTGGAGTGTGGTGGTTCTTCACCCTCATCATCATCTCCTCCTACACTGCAAACCTGGCAGCTTTCCTGACTGTGGAGAGGATGGTGTCGCCCATCGAAAGTGCTGAGGATCTGGCCAAGCAGACAGACATCGCGTACGGCACTCTTGACTCAGGCTCCACCAAAGAGTTCTTCAGGGTGAGTGGACAAATGGCATGGCCACTGGTGTTTTGTTAAGGGGGCAAGAGGGAATCACTTCAAAATGAGAAGACTTCAAGTGCTGCATTAGGAGAAAAAAAACTGAAAATTCATTGACTAATATGCTAATTTAGGAAATTTTAGCTTTCATTATTAAGCACACCAGGGGTTTGCCTTCATTTTGAGGTTGTAGTTACTGTGACCACCACAATACATGTCATATTTTTACAAAACTAAAAAATTATGCATAGCAATACTTTATTAGCATTTACTGTTTACTGTTCACTTTTGTGTTCTTCAAGTACTGTTGTAGCCTACATTTGACAATCTGTAATGTAATACATTAATATGTATTAGTCCTTTTACAACCTTGAATCACTAAATAATCCATCTCCACCCTCCCAAAAAAATTGTTAGTAAGTAAAAATGAAGTACATGTTAGCTAAAATAAATCTATATAAAAAGAAAATAAATCAGAAGAAATGTCTCTAGCATCTGTGTTTGAGCCAAACATTACTGCAAGTCTTATGTTAAAAATGTTGTCATTTTTGCATTAAAATGTCTTCAGATGTGTTTATGTTTATTTTAGATAACACAATACAAATGTTTAAACTTCAGAAGAGGTAAGAAATCAATATTTGGTGGAAAAAAACATGATTCACCCAAAATTTTGAATGACCTCATATTTTACTCTTCCTCACGTAGTTATACACCTTTATGATTTTCTTTTATCTGTTGAACACAGAAGAAGATATTTTGAAGTATGCTGCTGGCTTTCATCCATTGACATCCATAGTAGAAAAAAAACACTTATGGAAAGTTAATAGGTGCAGTTGTTCTGTCGATTTGTCCTACCTTGTCAGATTGTCCTATCTCCCATTCAAAACGTAGGCAGCACATTTTGATGACCACCCATCAGATTTTGCTACCAGTGTAGATTTTATTGTGGAGTAGTGTTATATGAAGCTGCATATCGCCCTAACCTACCTGATCCCTAACCCCATCCTCAGAACCATTCAGATACAGTGTTGGTACTTGGTAGCATAATCTGATGGGTAGATTAAAATGTCAAGACACCAGCAATCAACATTTAAAAAAAAATTAAAAATCTTTTTTTTGTGTGTGTTCAACAGAAGAAAAAACTCAAATAGGTTTAAAGCAAGTGAAGGTTGATCAAATGATGAGAGAATTTTCTTTTTTGGGTGAACTCTACCTTTAAGTATTAGATGATGATTATTAATTATTATTATCATGAACAGTGTTGGGGTAACACGTTTTAATGTGCGTTCGATATAATATTACTTTTCCAAAGTAATGAGTAATATAACGGATTACTTTTAAAAATAAGTAATAATATTTCAGCTACTTTAAAAAAAATGTAACGCTGGTTACTTTTTACCTTGCTTTATTGGCTTCTACAAAATATATTGCGGAATAAAAATGTCAGTAAAAATCACACACTAATGAGAGAGCGTACTGCATCAGTTCACCTTCTCCAGGTAAAACGAATAATTCAAATAAACTAAAAGAATTGGTTATTGCTTTTATTGTTGAGGAGATGCAGCCACTGTCTAACGTTACTGTAAATGTGACTACGTTTTGTAAAATAGTAAGTTTTTACACATTTGTTAAGGCCACATGAAGCAATTTAATCAATGGATAAAGCTCAGAGATTTATTTTAATATGGGGATTTTTTTCGTCCTACTGTTCATTTTGTTATTAAACATTTTACATTTTTAGTTTTTGCCTTAAATTATTTTATGTTGGTACTCTTAGGCTTTATTCAATCTTTATCTCAATTGACAGTGAATTTGCTTAACTAATTACACAAAACATTCAAAAGTAGCAAACACACTACATGCTGTCATTAATCTATACAGCATGTATAGCTCTAGGCTCAGAAAGTTGTCAAAAAATCATTTACCTACACACTAGAAAAATGAATTTGTAGGTTCCATAGGTGGATGTTAAATGCAGAGCTTCTCTATGAAAAAGGTGACAAAACACCTGCAAGTTCTGAAAGAGACTAAACCTCAGGCAAATAAGGAAAAGTAATGCAAAAATAACTCAAAGGTCATACAACAAATTTCTTTCCATGAAAAGTAACTAAGTAACCAATGAGTTATTTTCTGGGGGGATTTTTTCAATATTGTATTGCATTAATTTCAACAGTAACTTTCCCCAACACTGATCATGAATAATGAGTAATCTTATCAATGTAGAAATGGCTAACCTATTTGTTTGATATTTTTGATCAATTTAAAGTTTAATATAGAGAAAAATTTAATAAACAGAAACATTTTGTAACATTACAGATGTCACTTTTGATCAGTTTAGTGTGTGATTGCTGAATAAAAGTAGCAAAATAGTCCTACTGACCCCAAACATTCTATAAGAAGTGCATGCGTTGATTTACATATTAATTAATTTATAAATATTAATTATCTTAAGTTCCCAAAAGGCAGATTACCTCTTATCTGCAATTCAAGCACTAACAATTGTGCCCTCTGCTCGCTTCACTGGCACTGTACACCTTTACCCCACCTTTCAGAGGTCGAAGATCGCCGTGTATGAGAAGATGTGGAGCTACATGAAGTCAGCAGAGCCCACAGTGTTCACCAAAACCACTGCAGAGGGAGTCGCACGGGTCAGAAAATCCAAAGGGAAATACGCCTTCCTCCTGGAGTCCACCATGAATGAATACACGGAGCAGCGCAAACCATGTGACACCATGAAAGTCGGAGGAAACCTGGACTCCAAAGGCTACGGGGTGGCGACGCCAAAGGGCTCACAGTTAAGGTGGGTGGAGTAGTATAACAATATGCCACGTGTTGTTATGGTATTCCACCTTCCCTGGCGTGCCTATTTCTATTCTTCTCTTCTTATTTATTTGCTTTTTATTTGCTTTTGTGTGCAGTGTGTTATGCGTCGTGCTATATTTTCTTTTTTTCTTCTCTTTTTGGTTTTAATGTAGCCTTAAGCAGGTAATCTAATGCATGCATGATGATGCCACTGAATTTGTTTGGAAAAATATGTTATGTTTGAATTGTTTAATAATGAACTTGAATGAACAAGCTCTGAATATTCTGCCTGGTCTGACAAATATAAAGTATTTTTCCCCACATAAAACTGGGATGGGAATTGTAATAATCACGCCCAATAACTGAAGCACCATGTTAAAAAAATACTGAAAGGGATGGCAAGCTGGTTTGACTTTTCTTTTTTTGCAGGGTATCAATTCTCAATGTCAACACTTTGACAGACTTTTGACGTTTCAGAGGTGATTTTTGATATGAGGAATTTCTACCAGTAACAATGGCAGTTAGCATTTGGGAACACTTTACTTGGAGGTGTTTATAAGACTTTATGCATGCAAATGACAACTGTTATAAAGTGTCATTCACTCAGTTATTTCATTTTAAATGCAAAAATTACTTTGTTTGGGATTTCTTTTTGACATCTTGACAAAAAATACATCACAACCTGTCTTTTTCTTTGACAACTTGATATTACCAAGATAACATAACTTGTCATAAATCTGTCAAAACATGATTGCCTTTAGGCCATTATATTTGTTTCATTAATCGTTTTCTGATCACTTTTTTCAATTTGTTAATTTTAGTTGAGGTCAAGTAAAATATTAAGGATGCTGTTATAAAATTCATGATTATAATGGTCTCATGACAATCATGTTCATGACAGATTTATGACAGGTTTTGTCTTGATAATGTCAAGTTAATTGTCGTGACGAAGTAAGGTTATGATGTATTTGGTTGTCAACTTGGTATAACAAAGACATCTCAAACAATGTCACCTTTGCATTTATTAAGAATAAAACTGAGCAAATAACACTTAATGCCAGTTCTCATAACCATGCATCTCAAAATCTTAAGCTGTGTCATGTCACAAAGTGGTCATAGCAGTCTTATGTACACCCACTTCAAGTAAAGTGTTACCCCTGAGGTCAAATTGTCATTGTTACTTGTAGAAATTTAATTTCTTATATAAAGAATTAACACTTCAACTAGTAACAATTGCATTTTACTAGTTACATAGTATTTATCAGTATCAAAAATTGTAAGCCTGCTACTAGTATAAACTTACCGTAAGTTAATACCCTGATATCTACAATTGAATTTGAATGTTAATATGTAACTATTGTAAACACAATTCTTGCTAATACCTGATTTCAGAGAGCATGTCATCATTGATATCAAGAACTTACATTTTTACTTCTGGAAATGCAATTCCTGATATCAAAAACTGCAGAAATAGTAGAAATCTTAATACCCAAATTACGAATTAGCATTTCGGCTAGTAAAATATGAAAGGATGATACCGAGAACTCATATCCTGTAAATAAATAAAAGTGGAAACATCTCAGAGAGGAGTCTGTTACAGATGTCAGTAGCTCCAGGATCAGCTGTTTTGTAATGGAGTTATTGTGGTCTGTGTGGCTCTTCTCCTGAGCATCCAGTGGATTAGCGTTTTTTTTCGTAGTGTTGTGATGTCGGACCGGTGCAGGACATTCACTGGGCTTCACATCTACAGCACACAGTGCATTTAATGCTCTTCTTTCTCTTCCCCTCCTCAGCTCAGACGTGTCTCACTACATTCTTTCCCTGTCCCGTTCTTTGTTCCTGTGGGCTGTGTGTTTATCAGTGTTGCATTCAGGATAAACTGCATTCAGGATAAACCTCTCTTGAATCATTCCCATCGTATACTCTTTGACCCTTAACTTAACTGAATTATTAAATAGTGAGATTAAACTTATGCAGTGGAGTCCAAAGGTTTATGGCCACATTAAAAATTCATGTTTAATTTCGATTGCTTGTTTTTGTTATTATTATTATTGTTATTATAATTTTAATAATTATAATTTAAAAGTTAATTTGTTTTAAAACATACAAAAAAATACTTTAAAGATCCTATGAAGGGTTTTGAAATATCCAATTTTATTCTATGTTTGGCATAATCTCAACCGCAACATAAAGAGTGGGTGGGACATAGTTTAGCTTCTCCCCATTTTAAAAACAGTAGAGTTTTGTTTTATCACCGCTCTGCCAGTAAGAGGGGTTGAGCTCAAGTGAATCAAATGAAAAGCAAATGAGAAGCGTCTTGAAGTGGGCAGGGCATGTCAGACACTAGAGAGCATTTGATTATTGGTTATGATGTGATGACAAACAGTAGTGTGAGTTGACTTAAATGTTTTATTTACATCAACTAACACTACAGTTTCTCATCTCATGTTAATTCATTTGGGTGGAAGTGACAAACTACAAGCTT